TTTTAGGGAAATGCTCCTTTTGGCCGAAAGTCTCACAAGACGCGGTGGGTGGCCTCAGAGCCGCGCCGGGGAGCGAGGAGGAGCTGGCAGGGTCCGGGGAAGCTCGTGGTGCTGTGCTTGACGTGCCGTTGGCATCAGGGGAAGCCTGCTCCCCCTCTCGGGCTGAGGGGAGTTTGGGAGGGTGACCGATGTCCTCCCCGAGCTGGTGCTGTCGCTCCTGCGGTGTGTAGTACGCAGAGGGGCCGGAGTGAGAAACCCGTGTCCAAATTCAGACTTTTTTCCCCACTCCTTTTCCAGTGGGATGCCCCAAACCCTCTTTTTTTTGGCTGCCCCTTTCCCCCCCTGCCCTCTCTCTCGTGGCTCGGAGACCCCAGCAGTGACCCGGCCCTTCGGATCTGGATAACTTGGTGGGGTTTTGGTGACTTCGTGGAGCTGCCGGGCTGAGCTGACCCCCTGCCCTCTCCCAGCTCGGCCCCGTGCCTTTTTTTGATGAAAACCCTCAATTTCCAGTTCAAGGAGCTTAACCCCGATTGACCAGAACCGGAGGAGTCGCGAAGGAGAGCGCACTTCTTGCCGGGGCTGTGTAAGGCAGCCGCTCCGGCAGGATTCAACCTCTGAAATTTGCATCTTCTCTTTAAATTAAGATAATTGGGCTTTCTTGGCAGTTCCAGGCTGCTGAGTCTCCCCGGTTTCTGCTCGCAACTGTGGGCAGCAGTGCCGTTCCCCGCCAGCGCTTGGGAAAGCGGTGAGCGCAAGTAGAGGCAAGCGTTAAAAGCTCCCCGTTTTGGGGGCGGGGGGGAGAGGAGGGACGGCAGTGCCGGTGTGAGCAAACCCTTCGAGCTGGGGCTGTCACCGGGAGCCCCATGCCGCTTCCACCCCGCCAGGGGCAGACTGGATCGGGCGGCTTGAAAATTAACGGGGTTCTTTGCTCAGTCCCTTCTCAATCAACATCGGGGAGAGGACGGGGACGCTGCTGCCTCGTGCTGCTCCGAAACGCCAGAGACGTCCGGCGCTGCTCGACCTCCCGGGACGGAGCGTGAGCGCGGGGGCAGCCCTGCCCGCACCCACACCCCGGACCCTGCAGGCTCAGACCAGACG